TTAATCATATTATAATGCTTGATTTACATTTCTTAAATTTTTCATACATTGTTCACGGAATAAAGAAAGAAACTATTTCTGCGAAGTATCATGTGTTTACTGTGATGCGAAATTATTAGTTGTCTATCGAAGTTTTAATTGTAACGGATGATTGGTTCTGTTTATCATGCTTGAAAAACTTATTCGTTTATTTTTGGTTTTATCTACTGTGAACTTGCTATCAGTAGAATAGGTACATGATTGATCGTACGAATGCGTTATTCGTCAATTATGAACGAAACGAAATGAACATAAAATCTTTTTAAAAACTAATTTAATAAAAAAAGATTTAAAAAAGGATAATTATATGTTATTTTTCTAAAAATATATTATCTTATACATTGGAATTTTTCATCATTCTAAATTTAATAAAACTTTCTTATTTATCTTTTTTATTTAGTTTCCTAAATTATACGAAAAATGAGGTTTTGTCTTCTTTAACAGTGTTTTGTTATTATTATGACAATCTCGACTTTTGGAACAAAAGAAATTATCATATTTTGCTAGAACAAAATGTACTTATCATGATTGCAAAAAAAATAAAATTGCGTTTAACGAAAAATCACTTATTGAATGTACAATTATTTAAGCAAAAAAAAAATAACGATGTAGTGTATTAAAATTTTGAAAATTCCAAATATTCAAAAAAATTTCATTATTTATGATTGAGAAAAAAAATTTGATAATTTAATTGAAATTCGAAATCTATAATTAAAAATTTATACTTTGAAACAAGATTCAAATCAAATTTGATATTCGATATTTGTATTTCAAAATTTTTCGAAAATAAAAATTTAATAATTCGAAATTGAAATTGAGCGGAAAAAATCAAACTTGATATGTATTTATAATTTTCGTGGGGATATTTGTGGAAATTCGATGTGTTAAATTCAGTTTCGATAGTTGAAGATAAATTTGAAATTTGTAATTAGATTTATATCTTTGATATTTTATTTTAGCTTATTAGAGCTTTAATATAAAATTCAACGAGTCACAAATTGAAGGTAGATATTGCCATTCTTTAACGAAGGAAGTTTTAAATGAGTCGAACATCGAATCGACTTCAAAGGTACGTATACTTTAGCGAGTTCAAACATTACGAAGTTCCAAGTTCTAATTCGCGTAGAGTTCGTTAGTTTACCAAGTTCTGGCGAGTCCTTTAACAGATCCCTAACTTGTTCACTTTGACGTACCAATTTGTTGTAATCGCAACGCTAACCATCATGTCTGAACTAATATTTTCATTCAAGAATATATTCCTAGAATTTTAAAATTCTGAATTACTTTTCTTCTTGAAAAGTGAACACCCTCTACGAGTAAATAAAACTATTTCCAAAATATTGCTCCATTGATTGATTGCTGCTGATCATTATCTAATTAATTAAAAAAAATAGCAAATAGAAAAAATAAATCTAACTTATTTAGTGACGATTTTTTATTAAAAAGCAAAATAAGATAATTATTCCTTGTTTATTTGAGAAAAATAACGTACAAATATTTAGATTTTAATTATATATCGAGGAATATTTTTTTCTTTCGAATAAAATAAGAAAATAAGTATATAATAATGATAGATAAAAATAAAATGGACAATATAACTGATTTCAATTTTTTTGTCTAAATATTTTTTACCAATTATACATTTTTATTATATATTTTTTTTTCTTTCAAAAATATCTAAATATCTTTTGCATAATTACGATATCTCCAAAACGGAGCATATGAATCATAAGTAAAAAAATGGCGGCAAATTCAAATCAGTTTTCCACGTACCATCAACTCTTTAAATCATCGTTCAACGATACACGAAGGATAAGAAGAGAAACATTTTCCACTTCAGACTGTAAAATCGAAACGCAAAAAGTGTCATCGTAACAAGAGGGAAAGAATCTTCTTCATTAACCTTCTTCAGAAGGGAGGATCAGCGCCATAATTACACGATTAATTAACCATCATCGGATCGGGCAAAGAGGTCTGCCTCTCCTTTTAACAGTTTTTCTTCGCTCGTTCTCTCTTCACAGCTCTCTTAAGTGACAAAAGAACGAGGCTCGCGCGTTGCTTTAACCGATATTCACGACATCGAGAACGATACTCGAGATGTGACCCGAAAGAGAAGTCCTCGAAACCCTTTTGCCAGCGCTGATACCATCCTTGGAACGCGGAATCCGTGTAGCATAGCACGTTTAGTTACGTCATCCTTCTTACGATCTAAACATATATATACATATATGCACATCTATTCTCGAGTCGTGAATGGCGTAATTTTCTTGGCTAAGACTATGTAACTATGTATTTTCATGCAAAGAAATTTTAGAAATTATAGAAATAGATGCAAAATAGTAGATGTAAATAAATTTGAAAAAATACATAATGAATGGAGATATTTTAACTTGAATTATATATATATGTATATTTAATTGATTTCTTATTATAAGTATTTTAATATTTTTGTGCAAGGAATGATTTTCTTTAAAAAATATAATTCTATTAAAAAAAAAAACGAAGTTGACAATAAATGTCTTTTAATCAGAGAGAACTTGTATCGTCTACAATCTCTGAGAACACTCAATGAAAACAATAATTTTGAATTAAAACGATTTAAATTTAAGAAATTTATTCTAATATAAAAATATAAATTTTACATTTACAAATTTTCTTGTACAAATAAAATGAACAAAGTAATGAACGTAGTAATGGATAATACGATATTTATTTACACACGTGTATAAATTATCAAAAAAATTTTGTTCATCGAGCGTTAAGAATTTTAATCTTCCAACGTTACTGATAAATTTTCATTGTGCAAACCGCTCGATTTCGTATAATACGCCTCCGGTGTTCGTTCGAGAAAACTCGAACAATGCTTCAGTTTAAACTGCACGCGTGCTCTGAAATCGCACGGTGGACGACTGGATGCGCCGCGATTTATCGTAGCATCGAGACCGTTTTCAGAATACCGATGAGCTTGTGACGGTTCTCCTTGCCACCGTATGGTATCCACACCAACAGAATTCTCGAAAATCCTCGTCCATACAAATACATCCTCCGCTGTTTAAAGCTGGGCTACTCGCGTTAAGATAAAGCTTACTCATTTATACGATAAATAGACTGCGGATATTTATGCAAATTTAACATTTCCTGAATTACAATTACGGAAATAAAATTGAAATAAATATCCGTTCTTCGTAACTTTATATATTTTCACCCACCATGTTCCCTTCGATTTTTAAATATTTAAATTTTTAACCTCATTTTCTCAATGATAAAACTGAAAGATTATTTTAATCTAATAATATAACAGTGCAATAAATACGAAAAATTGTTCTACCCATTCGATGAGAAATTCTTTGCAGATTCAAAGTTTTTACAGACTCGAGTGAAATTTGAAATTTAGAAAATTAATACTTATAGAAAAGTACAGTGAAGCTTTATTATTAAATTAATAAAGCTTCACTGTAAAAAAACAAAAATTAAAAGTCAAAATTTTATTTTTTCTAATATCTTTAAAGGATTCGTGTAATCGAATGAGTAAAAAATAATTAAAGAATGATCGTTTCAACAAATTTTAACCGCCCCTCGCGGAATTCAAGTGATATTCGACTTGGGTTGCACGAGTTTGGGATCGTGCTGTTCACCGGTGTGAATCGGTTCGGTGTTCTCGCTTCAACGAGCGAAATCGATCGTTTCAAATTCGTCGCGCTAATTCGTCAGTTAATGAAACCAGCGTCCACTTTCGGAATCAATCAGCCCCGGTGGGGGGTCACAGGCGTGGCGAGAATTAACGCCGCCCGGAATTACAGTGGAATTAAATGAAGATTAATTTTCGTTTGAGCGCGACCTTCTGTCTGATCGAGACCCAATCATACCGGCTGTTTTAGACCCTTAATTGATGTGGCTCGATGCAAATATGGATGGAACTCGTTTCACAGCATTAAAAAGAAAATATACACCTTTCGGCTTAACCATTTGAAACAACCGATCGAAACTGGTCTTTTTGTTCGAGTACAGAAGATAGATACTTGGTGTATATTGGAGATGTCGTTTTATCGTTATTAATATTATTATTGTTTCATATTTATAAATTACAGGAAATGTTAATTGATTTTATTTAATTTAGTAGATAATTATTCTACATTCAATTCAAAAAAAAAAATATATCAAACTTGAAAAATATTAATCATTATTCCTTTATCATGGAAGTATTTCAATTAATTCAAGAAAGAATCCGATAAAACAGAGGAGAGGGAAATAAAACCGTAGTTGTTACAATGGCAATAATTGATCGAGAAGATCGGAATTGAATATTTAATTTCATGGTAATCGCATCTTTAAAAGCGCTTAAAACGCTTCAATGCTTGAAGGGAGGAAAGGGTCCTTGAGTCGCGAGATGTTTTTCATTAATTGTCGAAGCACAGGTGTGAAAAGAATCCTTCATTCTTCTCTTTGAACTTTGTTAGACGAAAGATCCCTTTGCGACACAAAATTAAATATAAAGTCTCTTTACATATGATTGATCGTAAAAGATTTGCAAAAGGATCTTGTTCTGCGATTTTTTAATTAACGTAGTCGAGTCGAAAAGCTATTATTATATCAGCTAGATGTATAATTGAAACAATCGAATTATTGCTTGAGCAATAATTACACGAGAACGAATAATAACATTATTTATTGTCTAAATAACGATATTCGTATAATTCTTATTTACTAATTTCGTATATACAAAGCATCTTTTCGTTTAAAAATGAAAAAAAAAAAAAACTCACGAGAAGAATCTTTACGTATACGTATCTCTTAAATTATATTTCTGTATTTTTAAAAAATAATTAACGCAACAGTTCAGCATATTACAGAAATACCAATTTAATATTCTTACGATTGAACGAAATTCAATTATTTAATCCGATAAAAGTTCTATGTAAGTGAAGAAAATTAATGGATTAATTATTTATCCATTGTTTCAGCAACAACAGCAGCAAGCTCAGCAGCAAGCCCAGCAACAGCAACAACAGCAACCGCAACAACAGCATCAGCAACAACAGCCGCAGGCTAATTCGCCAGGAGGTGGAAATGTGGGGAAAAGCAGCCCGTCGCCGGGAAATTCGGCATCCCCTGGCACTGTGACAGCGTCCAACAAGTCGCAGACCGAACCTAAGCCGGTCGAGTGCAATTTGTGCCATCGAAAATTCAAAAATATACCGGCACTCAATGGCCACATGAGACTCCATGGCGGTTACTTCAAAAAGGTGAGCCAATTAAGCTTTCTAATATTTGCTTTTCCATAATTATATTGGAAAGATTGTGTCATCGTTTCAAAGAGAATGTCGAAAATGTTTTTTAATTGTTTTCATTTTCATTTTCAAATCATTAGAAAATTTAGTTACTTCTGATGATTAATAATTACGTAGACAAATAAATTTATCGTTTATCGTTATATTCTGAACGAAATCATTGATATAAATTGGCAATACAATTTCGACGTCTTTATAATCTCTCTTTTTTTAATATCAATTTTTACATAATATTACAATTTTGTATAGGTAAATCTAAGTAATAATAATTGTATTTTATAAATACAAATATTACTTCAATGTCTAATTACGTTTTAACTGCATAAAAATCTGCAATCTACTCACAAGAATTAGAATTGAATTTGGTTATTTATTGAAAAATAATTTTGCTCTCTTTCTTTCTCTACACATTTCACTTATAATTGATTTAAATCTAATTAAATCTTCTTTCAAATTAAACCAAATTGTACAATGGATATTCTATTATATTAGATAGATATTTTTATATCACCTTTTAACATTTCAAATTTCTTAGAGAAAACGTAAATATCCGTAATCTACTTGCAAATAATCATTCTTCAAGAATTATTGTTCCTTCAAAGAACCGTGAAAATTCATTTTTCATCGTTACCCTTTCTCTCTAAAAAGAGAGAAAAGGAGAAGAAAGATAAAGTCATTCGGAGAATCGTTAATTCTAGTCTTGCATTTGTTTCGCTTGCTTCATCAATTCTCCTCGAGACGGTCTCGAGATGAAAATTATACGGAATCCGGCTTTGCTTACCTCTTTCACGAACCGCGTTTCATCACCAGGGGGAAGGGGGGTAGGATTGAATTTTCAAGAAGAATTTCATGAAGTTTACCAAAGGCTACGGGGAACGTGCAAGGTTCACCAACATTACCATATGAATTCGCAATCCCAGAAACTCGCGCGGAGAGCTTCTTGTAATCAGTTGGTGATTTCATGGAAATCTCGACCGCCGACCGAAATGCAATCAACCGGCGATTTTCGTGAAAATCTCTTTTTATACGCTCCTTTCTTCGCCGTGCATGAGACGATAATAATCGTTGGGGGATGAAAAAGGGAAAAAGTAGAGAGAGAGAAAGAGAGAGAGAGAGATTGAATGTCCTAACTCCTGTATGATTATCGAATTCGTATCTAATCTTCAAAAATGACCGATCGAGAAGGAAGATAATAAATTTAGAATTTTTCGATGGACCTTCCATTGGTATCGATTTTATTTCACTTTTTTTATTAAGGTAACGATAATTATCTGAAAGAGTGTTTGGATTAAATTTTTCTTTCTCTCGAAGAGAGGAGCTAGTAATAAAGGAATTAATTAATTTTCAAATTCTCGTTTTTCAATTTTTTTGAAATTAATTGTGATTTTTTTCTGGTATTTCGTAATCTCAATGGAATTAGGTGAATGTTTAAACGGCGAACGTTTGATCCACGCTCTATCGAGAACAATGAACATTTCTATGTTAAATCTCATCTCTATCGAAATGGAGGAGAGAAAAACTTGAGAGACGAGCTCCCTTTCCCTATAAATGACGCGCCGTTCGTTAAGACATTTTTAATCAACGAGGGGAAAGGCGACGAATGAAAGAGAAGGAAGGAAGGAAACCGAGAGAATTGCTGATCTTTCTATTCCAACGACTGCAACAGCCTGCCTCTTTCTTGACCTTATTAAGAGCCTTTCTCCCCTCAGAGGATAGAAAGAAAGGAGAAAGAAAAACATGAAATCGAGCAGAGTCCTCTCTTTAAGATTTCATTCCTGATTCCTTCTCTCTTTTTCCTATCTCTGTACGATTATCTCTCTCGAATGGATCGCGAAACGAAGAAGGAAGGTTTCAAATGGCAAATTTGTACGAAAATCGTTCCTTTTTTTTTTTTTTGTTTTCTTTTGAGTTACAATTATTCATTTTTCCAAAAAGCTTCGTTCATTATGGATTTTTAATTCTTCTCCTTTCGCAAAAATTGATATAAAGTTAATTCAAATCTATTCCACATTCCTATGTAATTTAAAAGTTTCAATTCAGATAATGAAAATACGAAAAAGTAAAGATAATTTAATGATTCGTTGAATATTTAGAAAAATGATGATAACTAGATTTCATCTTAATTACTAAATAATCAAATTTCAATTATTAATCCAGAGATTAATGTCTCATTTCAAGAGCTGAGAAAAATTTGAAATAAATTAAAATAAATAATGTTATCCGTAATAAAATACTTTAACATTTAAATCACTAACAATTTAAATAAAACAGTTTACATTAACGTTATGTTCTATTTTTCAAAACAGCATTTGTACGTGTTTTAAATTTAAGAAGATTACACATTTAGAAATGTATTTTAGAAAATGTTCTGCGTGCGCATACCGAATACATTACGCGCAAGTTTCACGACTCTCTATTCTTATTCCTTGCACACTGCCCGAGCGAAAACAAACGTATAATGGATAACAAAACAGAGATAACTGTATAACAATTTAATAGTGCATTAAATTTAAAGTTTAATTATATTAATTTTACTTTAATAAATAATAATTTGAATTTTTATCAATTTATTGATTATAATAATTATAGTATTATTAGCTTTTTTTCTATTTTTAGTTCTATTATATTAATATTTTTAATATTAATCATTAGTTATATGAATTTTATATCCATAAATTAATTTGATCTATCCATTAAATTGACAGAATTATATTATTAGGTTTAGGATTAAGAATTTATCCAGTATTATTTGTGGGATGGATTTCAAATTGTAATTATGCAATAATTTCTTTTGAAATTAATTTATTTCTTTCGATTAATAATTTAAATAATTGAAAGAAATCATAATAAATCACACAATCCATCCCTCTAATCGTCTCTAACCGCAAATATTCGATACACTCCCCCCTCTCTCTAAAAAAAAAGGAATCAGCCCATCCAAGCTTAGACGCGGAGGAAAGATCGAACGAGAGAGAATAAAATGGAAGGGTAAGGCGATGATCGAATCCAAATGAACCCATTAACAGGCTCTTTGCTTCCGCGATGGTGGAAAGATCGGGGAGGCGGCACGGTCGGTGGAGAGGGTTGTGCAAACATTGTCTCGAGCTTTCTCCATTATGTAGATTGAATCTGAACCGGTTTTCAACGTCGGGGGCCCGAGTTTTCAACTCGCCGCAACTCTCGCGCGCATCCATCCTCCCCCTCGTCCAGCGTCCGGATCCATTCATTTTGATCTGTGTACATACATTCATATTCATGCTCGTGGCGGCCCCACGATCGAGCACAGGTCCGCGTCGACGCTTCAGGGACACACAAGCGTTCACGGTTCACGGGCGGGGAACAGAGGCGTGAGTGCAGTTGGATGTATGTGTTCGCAGCCAGCCACGCGAATGTGCTGTGTTAATGGGTTGCCATGTGAGCACCGAAGGTGTTCTTGCTGGATGGGTAAATGGATCGACGAATCGTCTTCGTAAGAACTGTTACTGTTGAGTTTCGATTATTGTCGGGTAACGTGTTGGGGATTAGAAACAATAAGATTTTTACGAAAGGGATAATGTGAATATTCATAAAAAATAGGAGAAAAATGGATGCAGGAGTATTAATACTCGTGCAAGACAGTGATTAAATAACAGAGAGAGTAAAAATTATTTTGCGTAACAGAGTACATACATAATTTCGCATTTAGAGAAATGAAAATTCCATCGCTCAAATGAAAACAGGTACGAAATTGGGCAAATTTTGAATAACTTTGGAAATGGTGATCTTCGATCAATAAGTAGAAACTCGTTAGAACTAGATACAGTTACTTTTGAGTTGGTGTAGAGAAAGAAGAAATTTCGATTCGTTATCTCGAAGATCGTTTATTCGAATCTCTTGCTTGCGCCATTAATCCCAAGCTCGAAGATAAATGATAGATAAGATTCTTGAATGAACGGAAAATTTCCAGGAAAAAAGTTACCTCGAATTTCCTTTTCCACGAAATGATTGTACGAATGTTACTTTGCACCGATGTCTCGAAAAACCATAAAAGATAATGGATAAGCCATTACATCCGATGCGATTCGAGATAAAAAAAAAAAAAAGAAAAATTCACGAATATTTCTAACAGTTAAAAGCACAAAACCCAATTTCTTTTCATTTTCGTTCATCAAATCATCCTGTTCCTCCTCTCGAATCATGCTTTTCGCAAATGATCAGAACAATCACATTTGAAATCATATATTCGACGATTTCGATTCGAGCCATTATACGAATCCATCGATTCCTCTCGAAGCAGGAGGACAACGGCTATTATCGAGAATTATTAAGCAGTTTCGATGGTTTTTCATCCAAGTGAATCCGGATTGGAGGCACGTTCCATTCGAGAAGGGGAGCAGAATGCATTCCCGCGTTTCCTCCTCGTGGAAAATCGTGGGGGAGGGGAATATGTGCGGCCAACGGCAGCATCCGAAATCCTCCGCGTGGAAATTGTCGGGCGAAGAGCGGTTTAAAGTTTTGTCGAGCGGACATCGTGAACGGGATTAAGGGGGGATTCACTGGGACTTTTAAGTAATACAAGAGTACTCGGCGGCCTGGCTCCACCCAGCGCTTGAATATTTTTCGTCCGTTTGCCGGTGCATCCCTGGCCAGCGACTGGCCGTAATCCTCGAATAAATGGAATTCGGTCGATTTGTCTTCGGGGAGATAAACGATGAGAGATTGAAAGGAATTAATCGATCGTTAATCGATAAAAATTTTTTTTATTCCAACGATGAAACGAAATTATATTTATCGAAAAATAAAACGATAATGATGTTTCAGAAGAATTGATTGTAAATTTATTTGTTGAACGGTGGTTTTTATGCGTTCATTATTTTTTTTCCAAGAAACAATAAAAAAAATTCAAAGAAACAGATACTTCTGACGACAACGAATATGCCAATCGTTAATTAGCACGTCGACGTGAAAACTTTTTTGAAATTTTCGTGCATTTTACAATGCAATATCTCAATATTCGTCGTGTACAAGCGAGTTAAGCAAAAATTGAAAATTGTAATTGACGTTATGCATACGTTTGAAGAAACGAGCGAGATTTAATAAAAATTTTACATACATTAATTTTTACTCGTATTAAAATTGTAATTTGATTCAAACATTTACAATGTACAAATGTATTGCCGAAAAGAGAAAATAATGATTCTCGTTGAAAGAGAATATAGAGATTAATTTTAATTCATAGTGAACGCGATAACCGAGTGTATTAAAATTAGCGAAGCTTCATAATCGATATCTTTCATAATCCTAAATACACGTGTCAAAGTACGTAATACCTTGCTGCTTTCGTTTCAAAACGTTAATTAATTATCCTATTTAACTTTTCTGTTGGAAAATTAAAAGCGATTTATGAAATAAATTGGGAATAATTGGGGAATATATAGTTGGTCCAATGAAAATCGGAGATAATTTATAGTTGAGATTAAATTCGCGAATCCATTATACGAGGCGGTAATCGGTTATTCTCTCTTTTCACAAAAATGGTGAAAATAATCATTTAATTCTTTTTATTTCCCTTCAATACGATGCTGCAAATAAATGTATTGCAATTCAAGAAAATTCATGAAATTCCTCGATGCCTCGATCGCTATGTATCCGTTCCTTCATTATTAAACCAAAAATCCCAAGGTCCCATTATACACGGCTGTTCCGATACTATTCATATTGAAATTCTTGTAACGTTCAACCACATTTTTAATTAAACAGCAATGAGAATGCTACATGAATATGAAACGTTTATTTCAATCGGTGACGATAATAATTAATAATAATAATAATAATAATAATAATAATAATAACGGATAAAAAAAAGGAATTTTATATTATTATTTAAGAATCGGATATAAATATTTAATTGATACTGCGCGTAGTTCTTTAGATCGTTGCATTAATAAATTTAAATTATGAATATATCATATTGTGTTCGTAAAAAAAAAAAAAAAAGAATTCATTTATATTTCACCATTCAAATCTGAATTTCACAATTAAATGAGCAATATGAATATGGAATTATTCGAGCAATATATAAATGATATGAAATTATGACAGTAAATTTTACATAAATTTAATCTTTTGCTTCATTTTTTTTTTTTATAAAAATAATAAAATTATTTAATTTCAATTTTAGTTGTCGTATATAACAATGTTAATTGTTAATTTAATGAAATTCTAATGTAACAAAAAAGAAAAAAAAATAAATCATCTATAAATAGGATATTTGAAAAAAGGAGGCTGGAAAAAAACAATAAGTATAAATTAAGAAAATTATTTTTTCATTTCTCCTTTCTATTTTACATAAATTTAATTGCGTACATGCATAAATAAAACCGTAAAATTAATATTCCACAAGAATTCAATCATACTTTTAATCGAAATCCATATTATTTTATTATTCGAATAAATAAAAAATTTGAATTTCATGATGAAACCACGTGATAAAAAAATTTATACCAAAAATTTGTACACAGGCTCGAAACTCGATTACTTCCGTAAAATCAATCGTGCGATCTACTCTCCTAACCCTTTCGACTCTCATCCTTATAGTCTAATAGAATTAGAATCGAAAACGACAAAAAGAAATACAAGGAATAAAATAAAAGAAGAAAAAAAGGAAAAGAGACGAGATAGGAAATAAAGATTCAAAATGGAAAACAAGAGAATTCCTCGAACTCGCTACTTACACAACGAACGAAGCACATTTCATGCTCATTTCATAGGGGAGAGCGAAAAAAAGAGGCAAAAAAAAAAAAGAGGAAAAAAAGGGGGAAAAGGGAAAAATAGAGGAAAAAAAGAGTGAAAAAAAAAATCGAACGTGTGTACATTACGGTAGACAAGAGAACTCGCGTTCGAGGCTGGAATCGACACGGATCGAATTGATGAGACGGAGCCAGTGAACGTTCCGCAATCAATTCCGCGTATTAACAGCATCCGATCAATATTCATGAACCGAGCGTGGTACGCCACGTCAAAGACAGAGTTCAATTTCGCGGCAGGTGATATACATGTAAGTGACTATATATGTACATACATAATAACGTGTTATGTATAGGGGATTTAAAAAAAGGAAAAATGAGCCCAAAATTTCGAGGAACGTTATTCGGAGACGGAATCGAAAAGATTAGTGTATATATGTACACGTGTACAAAGTGGTTTAAAGAACTGAATCTTTCAACAAAATCTAACAATATCTATATAAATATATAAAATATTTATTCCATATAAGAAATAATACGTAACATAAATTTATATAAACATTTACATACCTAAATATCTTTAATTAACGAATATATTAATCAATCACAAGCGAATTATTTTATTCTTTCGTCAAGATAAGGTATAATTTTTATCCAATTCAATACTATTGCTTCGACTCATTTGTTCAAAACGACTCGCCGGCGGTTCATACCCAACACTACCGGCGACAAATCTAAACGCATCCTATAATAATTTTTCCTTAATAACAAAGGGGGAAAAAAAAGAAATCAATTTGAAATCATTTCACAAAATTATTATTTAAACTTTATCCGTATATATATCTGATGCTCGCATCACAAAGCATCATCAGACACGCATATCGAAGTAACGTATAGGAAATTGAGAAGCACGATGACGATCAGCGATTAACGACGCCCTCCTCCCTCGCCATTAAGGTTTCATCAAGATGACGACGCTGAGCCACGCATATCACGGTGATGCATGGTTCCTCGAAGGGAACGGTGGTTTCGCGTGAAACAGGACGAAGATATATGCGCGTCCGGCATGGACGTATGCTAATTGCCGTGGCGGCGCGTCCCAAGGACTGGCACAATTAACCCTTCGTTTCATCGGGGCCACTAATCTACGAACCAGTCGTGACCGATCGAAGTATCAATCGCGTTTCTGATTAACTGGCCGCGTCCAGTGATGGACGAGGCCTGGGTTATTGGCCGCGTGGGGAATGTTTGACGCGTAGATCTCGAGATGGGTTTAAGATTTGTTGCTTTTGATTTGAAGAATCGTGAAATGTTTTTTATTTTTTTTTAATTTATCTTTAGATCACACCGTTGTTGTTGCGTTGAAGAAGAACAATGTATTGAATTTGGAAGTGACGCGAGGCGACGTTCGATTTTAAGTAATGTTGAAGTTTTTCAATACGTGCAAATGAGAAATAAAATAAAATTGTTAATTGTAAATTTGTGATTTTAGATTTTGTTGCTGGACTTTGGGAAGAATAAGTGTAATGATATGAGAATTCGAAAATTTGAACAATTTTAAATTTAAAAAATATGCAGGAATGAGATGATACTTAAGTTTAATCGAGAAATTTTCTTGAGATAATTTTTTGCAATATACACAAATGTACTTTTTTTTGGCATTTATCTTATTTATTTATACTATTTGAAGTATAATAAATCAGATAAATTTTTATTATTCTTTATATCTGATGATAAATATAATAATATAAAAGATTAGAATGTTAATCAAGATATTCAACGCTAGTCGTAAAAAATTAATATTTCTAATCGAAATCAAAAGTACGTTTAAATTCTTGTTAAATAGAGAGAACATTCTCTTCTAATTAAAAATCAATTATTTCCATCTTTAATTTAATCCAAAACACTTTTGATCGTACATTTACAATTATTTACATCGAAAACTAACTGTAAAGGGATAAAAAAAACTTTGAAAAGAGCCAATAATGGGGCCAGCATTCTCCAGTTACTTCTTTCCTCCCATTTTCTTTTCTCTTTCAGTTCTTCTTCATTTCTGACATTTTTATCTTCTCTCTTTTATAATCCGCCCTGATCTCTTCAATCTCGTTCCACTAGCACCTCTTTTTCCTTTCCTACCCTCCTTTTTTATGTTACTCTTCCCTTGGATTATATTTCCTCTTTTCCATCGATCCATTCTTCCTTTCTTTCTCTTGGCGCTTAAATCTAACATTCTAATCCACAGTTAACCTGAATTACCTAAAATTAGATCCCGAACGATTCACGAGCTGTGCAACTATCAGGTCAAGTAGGATCGTGTTACGCAACCAAGCATTGTCCTCAATGGCTGGCCAGAGTTCTTGACGATATTTGACGAGAGAGATCGAAATTGATTAAAAGTAATGGATGGAAATGTGTTGATACTCGAGGCGATTTCGAATCATTGGTCGATGAATTCAAGTTATTCGTGTTGTTGTATTTGGTCACAGAAGAAGAAAGAAACGTAGAAATTTTCATAAAAATTAAAGTATTATTCATTGATTGATAAATAATCAAATTTTTAATTCCATTAAAAGACTAAAGTCTCTAAATGTTTGCCTAAAAAAGTTGAAGTTAATTTTTTATGGGATTAAACACGTGATGTTTTTAATTATTCCAGGATGCTGAGAACAAGAAAAGCGAGAAGAAAGAGGTTGTCGGCCCGCCTTTGCAAACCGCGTCCGTCAGCGTTAGAGCGCTCATCGAAGAAAAAATTATACAGAAAAGAACGACTGGTAAGTTGTATCGAAAATTTTGAAACATTTATTAGCTCTTCCATTGCGTCATCAAAAAATTAAAACTTCAAATTTGGTCGAAATTAAATAAATTTTATTTAAAATGAGGTAAGAAATTTGCTGGAGCATCGAATAAAATTCTAAATATTCAAAATAATCTGCATAAAAAAATTATTCCATTAAAGAATATACTAATTATTAATTTAAATTACAAAGATTAAGAAAATATGCTTTTTAAAAATATATAATTTATATAAAAAAATAATACAATGCTTACGAAATTTATCATATTCAATCATATTTTTATTGCTAGATCAAAACGTATAACGTTATTCATTGAATATCAAATAATGACATTAATAAACAACATCGAAATTCAAGGAATGTATTCCTTTGAAATAGGAACACACGCGATGATTTATGTGCTTTGAAACGTATCTCGGTTAGATTACGTCTATCTTCCTTACTGCTTATGTTTCTCTCTCTCTCGCTCTATCTTCTTAACATTTCACGAACTATAATCATAAGAAACATACCGAGTTATATTAACTGTCGAGTTACGTTAACTTTCTCTTAGACACATTCAGGATCCTAACGTGACATCTGGTTACAGAGAATCTGTCGCTGAACTGCTATGTACACACTCTCGAGTGCTTAAGACTGAAACTAATTGTAAAGCAACTTGGATAATCGTGGAATTCATTAAAGTAAAGTGTAACGTGGGAATAATATTGAAATGTTTCGATATAATCATAGAGAAAAATGTTAACCGATTCAATTTGTTAAATCATTCTTCTTCGTGTACAAATTAAAATATTATTTTATATATAAAAAAAAGAAAGAAGTAATGCATATGATTTGCTTTGAATTCGTTTATTAAAATTGTAAAACGTGAATAATTAAAATAACTTGTTATAGGTAATTATATCTTGATGGTAGTCTTCTAAGTAAGTTGATTTCTTAGAAAAATTTTCCAATTCTGGCCATTTTAATATTCCATATATCTATAATTTCCAATTATTATTATTATTATTATTATCATAGATATATATTTCAATAGCATAATAGCATCCTCCATATCCTGTAGCGATATATCTTTCGAAACCTGGCCCAATTCAAGCCCATTTCATATCGAAAATCCATCCTCTAAACGAGCCAACTATAACCGAACGCAAACGAATCCTGAAATTTCCATCGAACAGCCACGCAACACTGGGATAAAATTTCAACAGAATCCGAAATGAAACGCGAAAGTTCATACGAGATAACGTTCGCGGGTTCATTTTTTAACTTTCCAATCAACGTTCGACCCGATGAGTCGCTTCCACGACGAAATATTAATCCGATCAACTTCGAGGGGCGACGCTGAGAACAAAATTCTCGCTTTTCGAATGATTCATGCGATCCACCTGCGTGTATTCCAACGCAGACACCGATCCAACTCTGTCTCCTCTCCTTGCTCCTTTTGTATTTGTATATATATATATGCTGTAACTTATATCTGTTTTCCTTAATCAAAATATGAATTTTAATAATAATTTTTGTTTTGTAGCTTAAATAATATTTATATTCATATATTTTTGTGTCTATGATTGTATAGATGGACTAATACGAACAATTATTTTTATTATTAGCGAAAATCCACGTCGAATAATAAATTGTGGTCGCAGATCTTGCAATTAAACCTTCTTTTTTCTCTTCAATTCTCTCATCGTGAATGATACGATTTCGAAAGATCTTCAAAGCGATGTTTAATCTCGTTTAAACGTATCTTTCTCTCTTTTAATTTTCGAGATTAACTTTTTTATAACCATTACAATTGAATTCATTGAATTCATCTTGATATCAACTCAAAGATTCTTTAAAACTCTCTTCACAAAAAGAATTAATCAACTAAAGAAGGTATATGAAATTCAATTTTCTTTTCTCTCTTTCCCGCCAATCTTCTCAATGTTTTGATCCACGAAAAAATAATTGAGACAATCGCCTATACATACATCCATATTTTTAACTCTCTGCTCGTATTCGTTCTTTATCCACGTGTCCTCCCATCCGTGGAAATCCGTGTACATTTTCCAGAAGCTCGCGTGATATTCTAGCCAGCGAGAAATCGCCTCCTCCTCCTCCTCCTCCTCCTCTATGGACTACCGAAGAATCGTGATTTACGAAGCGAGCACGCCAGAATATTTCTCGCATTGTCCACGTTCGAGCGATAAATCACCCCCGCGATGGCTCTGGCGCGGGGGTGGGGGGGGGCGAGAGCCGCGCTTTTGTAACAAAGTGTGCGTCGTTAGCGATTTATGCGCTGTTTCGTTCGCTGCCAAGAGCAATGGCGAAACTATCGTTCCTTCCGCGAGGATTCTTCGACGATTTCATTCGCGTGCTCGAATTAATACGAATGAATTTAACACGCACGCACGCACACAGCCGAATTTCGAGGAAATTCATCGAATGGTGAAAGAAGTTGTTGCGCGGATTTCAAAATTGGACGAATTCAAAATAAAAAAAACCATTGAACTGTTTATAATATTATGTAGGGATGAATATATATTCGATTATAAAAAGTTTTAGGTTTAAGAAATCGATAATCGATAAAATATAAGCATCTGAATAAAGATGATATCTTCATCAATCTGTCGAAATTGTACGAATATATATCTCGTTTCAATGGAGAGATAGTTGGCCATTATTGATTTTTTGAAGGTAAATCAATCAGTCCAAAAGTGGAGTCAGTTCATGAGATCGATCATTAGTCGTTGTTGACGACGCGTCTATCGTGGATGCAGGGATGCAATTAGCGGATGGTTCCTGGTTGAGTTAGTTGTTGGCGGCGAAACGGTTTGATGTTTGGCTCAAGTCTCCAAGGAGGAACGATATTGAAGAGCGCGATGGCGCCTCGTCGACGTGTAAATTCGATACCACGATTTCCAAATTTGATTTACGATCCTAAGTTTCGAGCTCCATCCCAGGTGTCGGTGTTTGTTTGGTTTCATTTCTTCACTTTGTTCAATAGTTGTTAAGTTTCTTTAATTTTCTTCTGATATAATCTTGTTTTATATAGGAGTTTTTGATTATTTGTTTATACATCGAGCTTGTTTATGTATTACTATAGCGTCAACGATGATTAATATTATTTATAAATTTTATACTAAGAAAAGAAAGTTTTTAAGATATTAAGATAATTTTTCATTTAATCAGATGTGGAGCATTAATTTTTATTCTAACGAATTGAATTTATGCGTGATACGATAAACGAGCTGATTCTAATTTTATAAAAAAAAAAAAAAAAAAGGGATATTGATTTTATATCAAAATTTATATCAAATATTAAACCTCTATCATACAATTTTTCATATCGTTTTTAAATTATCGATCTATTTACATCTATAACTCCTTCCTCCTCGTCCACACAAAAATTCATTTCCCCTGTAAATATACGATTTCACCGTAATTAAAACAAAATCCAAAAACGATCTCTGTTTTGCTGTTTTTTAATTTAACCCAGGAATATATTCGGAAAAAACAATTTCGAAAATTTTACAATACGGTTAGAAGTTTCGTTTCGATTAGATTGTTGTTTCATTTTAATCTCTCGTTTCTAAAATCTCTCTATATCCTGTACCAAAGAATTATTCGTTTTAATAACGATATCTAGTGATAAATAATATTTCAAAATAAATTACTCGAGATATATAATTAAGATGTAAAAATTGGTGAAGTAGACTTCTACATATATATATGTAGAAAGATTAAGATATCGATGATCACGATTCTAGTGATGGAGAAGAGGAAAAAAATGGTTGTCCAGAATGCGTTGCACTTCGATGAAAATCGTGGGGCGCGCGTTGCGGCGAACATGATATAAATATTCATTGCATATTTAGAGAGGTTGCATATTCACCGAACGAAACATTCATAAGCAGATAAATTGATTGTAAATGAATAAGTAATTACAGACGTGCGAGTGTGTACCAAGTATTACGTCCGTTAACAACGTAATAACGGAAGCAATGCGAATTTTAAAACAATTTGCCGTATGATAATGCCGCCGTAAATACTTAAAATCGATGTTTCATCGATTCGGGGGATACGCCATTCGTTGAAGCTAAATAATTTTTCAACTGGTCGGGCGAAATGTAGTGGCAAATTGATAAATATAAATAACACAAGAAATCGATGAGAATCGATCGTATTTTTCCAACTAATAACCGCGAGAGAAATAAATAATATCGATTTAATTAATATAAATTAATATAAATGAAGAAACTTGAAGTAACGCATAAAAATGAAACGAAAGATTGTTTTAGTAATTCTCAGATTCGCACATATTTGATTGAACGGGATTGAATGAATTGATTTAACTTAGAAAGATAAAATTGGCATAAGTGGAGGGTACAAACATCGACGCGATAATTCTTGAAGCAGAAACGACGATTTATACAAAATTTTCCGGGGGATTTCTGGGGATAGGATAGGATAGCCATTGCTGACGGTGCACAACTCCATGCCGAGTGCATCGCTGCAATTCAATGAAAAGTACGATAAGACGGCGCTAGTTATAGGGTATAACCGATAAAATATCGCGGTTATCTGCTGATCGTTGCGAAAGTTTGGCAAATGGATAAAGAAATATACGACGTAGAGGCGTAATTTAAGACGTTCTCGAGAGAAGGACGACGAGACGTATTCTTCTCATCCGCGAATTTGTTCGAAGTAATCACGAATAGAAATTGCATTTATATATATCTTCTCAAGTTGAGACAAGAAGAATAATAAATATTTCGATTATAAAATTATTTGAACGAGACAATGATCCCGTTATTTACGCGAGAAGTCAAAATTAACTGATAAATTATATCCAGTTGGTCCAATATAAACAATATGAACAAACGATTGTAAATGTATTCACGATAATATTACATATCATTCTATCTCTAATTTAAATTCTTCCTGCTCCAATTCTTTCAAAAACTTTTGTCATTTGTATCGCCAACAATTATCAATTATCACTCGAAAAAAAAACTTGAGCTCAAATATTTATCCAATCAATCTACGAGATGCAAGAGAGGGGGGGGAAGGGGGGAGGGGGGGGAAAGCACGAATATCGAACGCATCGTTGAATAAAAATCAGCGAATTAAAAGAATATAAAAAAACATGCACAAATATCTGCCAATTGAAATCGTATTTATTCCCAATCGTGTATTCTAGAATTTTACACGTTCGACCGATCCAATTTACTTTTTTTCCCCATCCCCTCCCTCCTCTCCTCTCGTTTCGTTTTATTTCATTCTACTTTTTTTTCTTTTCTACCCCAAGGTTCCACAACACGTACGCGGAAACCTTGAAAAAAATATTGATCACCGAGACCCTTTCCCTTCCTCGACCCTTCCTCCTTCGAACAATCGTAATGAAAGCCGAAAACCGAATTTTCCAACGCGGGGTAAAAAAAAAAAAGTAGAAACAACAGGGGAGGAGGGACACTTCCACTTGGCCAGCGGACAATCTGCTTCTGAACCGCGATCAATGATTGGCAATTTGCAAAAATCCCTCGGCGGTTTCGGATCCCCCCCCTCCCTCCTCCGCTTCGGATTTACGTCGTTACGTGACCGTACAAATGCGCGGCCATCAAATGGATTTGCGGTCCGCATAACGTTATGTGTAGAAGCGGCGGCTGAAAAATGCAACGGGGAGGGGGCGGGGGAGGCGGGGGGGAGGAAGGGCTTGCTCTCCGCGTGAATTTCACCGGGTTAATATGAAGCATTGATTTATCGACCGCGCGTGGGCCTGGTGTAAGCTTTATTGCGAATCTAAATACACGTAGCGTATTCGTTAAAATAGAAGCGCGGCGATTGGATGGGGAGGAGGAAGAGAAGAGGGGAGAGGGGGAGGGTGAACATTTGAACATTTGAAAATAACATTTATTCGCGGTATTGGATGGAATGGAAATTTAACTATCGGTGGAATATTGTTTTTTTCTCCTCCTCCTCCTCCTCCTCCTCTTCCCCTTCCTTTTTTTTAAATTTATTGAAGTAATTTGATTTTCGTTGTTGTTTTTTTTTTTTTTTTTTATTTAAAAGGATTATTTAATTTTCGTTCCGTTTTTTCGTTTTATTATTATTATTACTGTTATTGCGTTTAATTTTTTTTAATTAGAAAAAAACGAATGTTTTAACCTCTTGTTGGAATGTATGTATAAAAAGAACGTGATCTTCGGTAATCTAGTCTAATCATTCATATTCCATAATTTTATTTTAATAACAGAGTTTGGACAGAGTTTTATTGTAAACCCGATAAAAATGTTCCGATTACTGAAATAGAATAATTAATCGAATTAGTAAAATCTGTGGTTATATGATCATAGAATAATATGAATACATACTTGCCACGTTTTTTAACAAACAATTTTTCTAAATTTTATCGAAGATATACATCTGATCTTTCATCTTTCTCATAACGATATTATTAATCGAGTAATTTAATATTTTAAATACTTTCGATAAGGGAAACAGAGAAGTGATAATCGAGATGGACAAGTTTAAAAATAACGACAGTATTTTTATTATCGCTTCTTTTTATTAATCCAATTAGAAAATAATTCTATCTCATTTCCTTGCACACGAATAACGAGAAAAAGAATTTTTATACAAAACCGTAATATTCCATCGATTTCTCCGATCACCATCCACGGAGGCAGGGGTGGGCAGGCCCATTTTTGTTGAAAAATACATTTCGAGGCGTCGTTTACGACAGCAACGAAACCCGACAGATATAAATGCGCGCATATCCTGGCCGAGGCGCGAGAAGGAAATGGGATCCAGTTGTGTATAGGAGAACTTTTCCATGAATATCTCGTACTGGCTTCGTACCTCTCGATCTCCTCCCCCCCCCTTTTTTTTTAACGCACGCATTACACGCCGTATAACCGTCTCTCCTCATTGTCGACCACGCCGCTAATAAATCAACCGAAAGAAATTAATATCCGTCTTTGACTATCGCCTCTTCCCTACGGCCAAATTGAAATCGTTGTAAACGCTTTTGTTCGAACGACGGAAATGGAAATTGTAGCGAGCGGCGACGATCGAACTCGATGCAATTTGTCGCGCGTACCATCGTTTCCATGAAATTTTCCTTTTTTTCTTTTTTAAATAGTTTTATCTCCTGTCTTTGGTGGCCGAAGGTGGGAAAGTGTTGGATGAGTCGAGGATACTTTATTTCGTTGTTGAGTATACGAGTTTTGAAAATTTTTGGACAAAAAAGTTTGCTGTTTTCGTTTGATGTTTATACTCATTTCGAAATGAGTATAACTGAACTCGAAATGAACCAATGGAAAATGTAAGCTGAAGCAACTGAAAAAGTAGAGGACAATCCTTTGAATATTTATCATATATGTCATTAAATTTTTTTTTCTATTATAAACACGCTATTTCACTTTTTAAAGATATATTCCATCCTTTGGAAAACATTTTTTTTTTAAATCTCCAATAATTACGTAGACATTTATCAGAGATCTGGCAATAAAACTTGTTTTCCTCGAGGAAAGATTATTTCGTTTCCAGCTTGTACGATCGTGAAAAGGCGTATTAAGGAAGGCACAAATGGTCCAAGAAGATCGTAGCCTTCATAATTTATTCCCCATAAACTGAAATGCTTCGACAAAGTACGTTCGCTTAACCGGTATTACGATTAATTCATATTAACGTCATAATAGGAGAGAATGTGTACGCTCGAGACGAGGCAGAAAGGTTCCGCTGCATTCATTGATCTCCTCTCCTCGTTTTCCTTTTTCCTTCGTCCTTCGTCTCTCTTTTCTTCAATTAGCCGCGCAAAAAGAATCCGACAAAGAAGAAGAAAATCGTGCACAACTTTGATGAAGTTATATTTCGTTAAGCTGTTATTTATATAAAATTATTGCCTTTGTAGTCTCGACTTTTGTACAATTGCTTTCCTTTCATTTGATCAGATACAGATATGTTCTACTTACGAATATTATTATTTCATTGTATATTATACTTTGGATATATTCTATGGTATATTTTAATCAATTTGAAAAATTGATCTTAATTTTAGCATCCTGTTTATTAAATTCTGTTACTAAATTATTTTTTATTTTATTATATCTCTTTCTATTTTAATTTGTATATTTCATATTCACATTCTTGGCTGATACACTTTACTTTCTTACTGTTAACAATTTTTTTGGATAATTTCAATGTGTAAGAAATTATCGGATTATAATGTTATCCTGACAAAAAAAAAAGAATTGATCGAAATATATATTTTTTTAAAATGATTTTAAATGTATCATCTTATAGTAAAAATATAGAATCGTTTGAAATTTCACACGAAAGTGTTACATATTGAAAGCAAAGGTAAATATTGACAAATTAATTGATCAAATATTAATATCGTTAATGCAAAGATCTACGATATTTAATCCGAAATAAGTCGATATCGATAAAATCCTCAAAGATCTGGATATTTCAATTAATTCATAAAATATGTTCATTCGATGCATACAGTTTCATTTCGAGAAGCATGCGCCGTGATTCCACGTTTTATCGACGAAAATTCACGCAAGTTATACGCAAACAGACACGCCATTCTCTCCAGGAAATTAAACTACCATGATAAAAGCAAATAGAAAAATTCGAAATGAAAATGTTGTTTAATAAGACAAGACGGGGAAAGACGGATAATCGAATCTTATTGCATTAACTACAATGTGAAATTAATATTTATATTTCGATAGATATTTTAATCCCGTTCAAATTTGATCAAGACTTCTCTCTGTATCGATTTGGAATAAAATACGAATATGGAAATGATTAGAGCAATTTCAATTCTTGATAGGTACGGTGCAAATTGTGTTATAATTATCTCGAAAATTATCTAACTTCCCAATAATATTGGAATTTAAATTAATTGCATCGAAAGGGGGAAAAAAGCGAAATGCAGGAGAAATTTGATTGGAGTGCCGAATATGTTTGTATAACACGAAGAAATGTTAGGAAATTCGATATTACCACCCACACATTTCGTTAAGTTTAATTAATAATCATACCTATTAAGTCACATTTCAAATCAGTTACAGAGAGTTTCGAATTATGATAGAAATTAGGGTGAAAAAGTGATACTAAATTTCCATGTTTAATATCATGCGTTAAAAAATAGTAATGTTTATAAAAATTTTTGAATGAGAAGCTTTTTTAAAAAAAGAATTTTACGATATATATTTTTTTGTGAATAATTTATTGAATCATTTATTTTCGTAAATCATTTTAAATATTAGATTTAGAATACATTTAAAATATTGTTACGAACTATAAGAAATAATGTTTAATAAATAAATTAAACGAATAAAGGTATATAATTTTGACACATGTTATAAATGATTCATTGAATCGTTTCTTTTTGTGAATCATTTTTATAAATCCTTACAGATCCTTCTAGAAAATAATAATCATATTTCAAAATTAATAAGAATATATAAAAAGATATTGCGTTATATTATGCAAACTTAATATTATACTATTTAGAAAAAGTACATATTAAATAGAAAATAAAAATATAAAAGAATATTATAGCGATTCATAAGAAATTTCTTACGTTATAAAAAAACAGAAATTGTTACCATATAAGAAGAGTTGCAAATTATTTTATAGAAATGTTTTGCCTCGTTTTAGCAGCGGACACAAATTCAAATCAACAGGCACGCACAAACGCAACAGTTTTTACCACCCAAGCCGACAGTGCGTCGCAAATTTCCGGCAAAACGAGCTTCGCTGTACCAGCACCGCCTCCATTGGCCTCCGCGGAAAAGGTCCGCAGACTTTCGGACGGCGAGCACTTCCGGCAGCCCAATGTCACCGTTTCCGGCCACACGACCGTGCAGAAACAGCTGCAGGAAGCGCAGACCCAGGCTCAGGCGCAGGCGCTGGCCGACATGATCCTGAAGGTGGTTTTTCCTCGGATTAATTAATTTAATTTTCCATTATTGTTTCTCCAATTTTATCGTAAATTGGATGGATGGAATTTGATTGACGATGAAATTTATTCTTCTTACCTGTTCTTTAAATGTACTCGTTGTTGTTTGTTTAATAAAACATGCACGTGTGTTTTGAATATAGGAAAAAAAAAATTAGATTTCTAAATTTCTATTGAAGGGAACTACTAAAATGGCTGTGAAAAGAACAACTTCCGATCCCGGGCAAAGATTGCATCTGACTTATCAGACATCGGTTCAATCGACGACTAGTCAGCAGCAACAGCAACAACAACAGCAGCAGCAGCAGCAACAGCAACAACAGCAGCAAAATAATCAGGCTCAAGCCCAGCCCACGGTTACTGAAAGTTTCTCAATGACAGGTTACTCTGAAGACGGCGGTTATTTTAGCCCAAGCCTTCAAGATGAGGTGTTTCAACAAGTCACCGCAGTTCCTGACAGCGTTCTTCTTCATGCTACTCAATTGGATTCACTTCAGGTGAGTACAACTTTGATCCTTTTATAAAGAAATTTAATTAATAACTCAAAATAGTGAATTGTTGTCAAAAAATTGTTATCAAAGATTAAATTATACTCAATAACAATAACAACTCGTAATTCGAATTATTCAGAAACTTGTCATTGGACAAGAATTCAAAATTACATTTAATATTTATAAAAGTAATTAAATTAAAAAAATTTCTAAGCTCTCATATATATTTATGCGTCATATTTGTATACAAAATTGCAAACTGATCGATAAAAATTTACAATTTTTATAAAATTATAGAATTTCCATTTATATAAATTATAAATCCACTTCATAAAAAATTACATCAACGAAACACTTATCTTCCTTCCCCCATTCTTCTTCGCACCCTTCCTTCTCATCCACTAAAAAAGATGAAACGTGACGTGATTTCTAAAGGTAACCAAGCGTGAACAGATACGAGCGTTGCTTGTGCCAAGACAGGATATATCCAGAGTCCTTTGACGAGCTAATTAGTCCTGTTCTTCGTGTCAACTGTCGAAAACCCTTTAGTTTCAATTATGCGACGGAGAGGCCGTTTCTCTTTCTACACTGTAGAATTTAATAAGGCGAATTATCCAAGTAGTTAGCACCAATTGCACGACGACGCTTTGTACCGTTTGAAAAGCGTCATATGCGCGTCTGTGTGTGTCATCCACCTATCAATCGAATATCTCATTCTTCCCTCTTTTCACCCCTCGAGAAGTCTCGTTAACGTCTGACCTACGGATACCAGAGATTCCAGCTTAATGGTTGCATCCATTGGCGTGCCATTGGAACGCCTTTATTCCACGCTGATCTCATGGATGAATTCAATTTTTGACGAGAACTAATCGAGTATGAGTCTCGATATTGCCGACGAAACTCGAAATACTGGCTAATATCATTTTTTCGAATGTAAATTTTTATACGAAGGATCGGGTTAATCGAAATAATTTGTAGGAAAATTTCAAGTTTCTTAATTAAAATCGAAGACAGACAGAATTCTCTGAGTATCATTTTCACAATCAGTTGAATCAAATTAATGGAATCGATAAAACAAAATTTACAACAAGTACAAATAAAATTCTTCTAGAAAACTTATGATATTTTATGCTAAATTACTTTCCAATACTTTTTGAATACTTCGTTTTAACTTTGTACATAATAATGAATATCGATTTCACAATTTCATAATTCGATATAAAACTTTATGCTCATCTTAAGTACTATTTTTTAGCTTTCCCTTTATCACAAACGAATAAACGAACCGTCCAGTTTCAGACAGCAAGCCTCTTACAAGAGCAGCCCGCGGAGCAATTGCAAGACATCACTCTGGAGGACCGATATCCATCGCAGCACACGGTGAACCCAGACCTGCAGGCGTTGGTGAACTCCCCATTGCCGGACTCGTTAGCCGAGTTCAGCACGTACGGTGCCCAATACACGGAGAGCCCGCACACCTTACCTACTCAATCTCCCCTGCCATCGCCGTTGACGAGACACGACAGCCCGAGTTTCACGTATCCAACGCCGCCAGCGAGTCAGGAGGGCCTTCTCACAGGCAGCTTCCCCCTGCTCAGCCCGCAAGAGGATCCGGAAACCGTGAGACAAGTTTCGTCACCATTGTCCGCGGCCTTCTACGCGAGCACCATGTCCTCCGCGGCGGCTGTGGAGGAAGCTCTGAGCGAGGTGTTGCCAGGCGAATCCGAAGCAGACACCGACCTCTACGGGTCCGGTTCACCGAATCCGCACTCGCCACTGCCAAGCCCGTTATCGGCGACCCCAGCACCGTCGCCGTTGTCCTCGTTGCCGCCCTCCTCGGTCTCCTCACCTGGGCCCGTGTCGTTCACGGGGACGAGTTTCCCCGTGTCGCCGCATCACGCCCTCCAGAACCAGATGATGCCCAACTCGGAGGATCCCCTACTCTCCTCGACCCCGAAAGACTTCACCACGGCCAGCCGCAGACGGTTCGAGTTCCAATCGTACAAATTCATCACCAGCCAGAACTTGGTGGACTTCGGCTTGGGCAACGGCAGCCTGGCCGGCATCGTGGTGGACAACAACGGCGAGTTCAAGCTGATCCAGACCGCGGGATTGCAGAAGACGAATGTACTTGTGCAAACTGGCTCCCTGAGCCCCGCCTCACGTTCAAGAAGGAGATGCGGCTGGCGACCCCGAAGATGGAGCCTGTCACCGTGAACCTGGGCCTGAACGTGCAGACGAACCATCAGTACAACGCTGGCCAGTTCAATCAGCAGCAAGTGGTGAACCCGACCAAGTTTCTCATACAGACGAACCAAGTGGCCAAGAGTAGTAATCTGAGGCAAAAGCCGGTGGCCGGTGGAAACCTGCCCATCCCGGTCGAGCAGATCAAGGAGGAGCTTTTGGACGAGGACGTCTTTCTTAATCCAAGTAACGTGCCGGCTGGCAGCCCTGTCAGGCAGTGCAGGAAAAGGCCACGCATGGACGGAGGCCTTTACGCGAACACGTCGTATCCGTCTAGATTGAGGAAAGCCTGCGACAGGCATTGGGATAGTAGCTACACGCCGCCACCTATCTTGGATCCTTCCCGCCCTGGGCCGGGTCTCTACGCAAGGCTGCACCAGTACGAGAGGGATTCTGATTTCAGTTCCGACGATTCGCAGGGGAACGATGGCCCGCCCCCTAGAATTAATATCGGCACCAGGTATCAGGCTACGATACCGCCGATCGGTAGTGACGGGGACAGAGGAAAGGGCGAGCCAGAGGCCGACCATCTGCTCTGGGATCCTGGTATAAATAACGTGCTGACGGATAATGAACGTGAGTAGTCGGATTTTGTTCGAAGGTTCTTGGATTTGGTTTATAAGGAACTTGCGATACTTGAAGATTATTTGAGATGCTTGGTTTGACATTTGATGAGTTCGGAAAGAAATGTGGTATGACACCTTCTTTTTTCTCTAATATGAATAATATTTGGAAGCATACAAATTTTTCTGTTAAGTTTAGTTTGTGTATTCAACGTTATGCTATGATGATTTTTGTTACCACTTTTACTCTGAACTCTTCATTTAACATTGGTGAACAATTTCTTCTCTCGCTTGTATATATACGCACTTTTTAAAACCAAGAAAGGTTGCTTACGTAGGATTCGAGTATTTCTATAAAGCAAATTAAAATTTTGTATATTGTGTTATATTAAAATCTCGTATAAAAATTAAGAAAAAATTCTCTCGTATTTCGGGATTTACGTTATTATATTAATAAAATACTGTTTGAAGAATATGTATTTTCTTTTATCATCGATTTTATATCAAATAAAATTTAAAGATTATTTTCTCTCCATCCTAACCTTATCGACAATTTCTCGAAATTAAAAATTTGCATATCATTTTTCCTCTGAATTCTCCATTAAATATCCGTCGCAATGAATATTAACAAGCTATTTAATCAAAACGACATATTATCGATAAATAGTTAAAAAAAATTGAAAAATAATATATTAAGATTATTGTTCGAAGCCAGTACAAAGTTTCATCGTAAATTTCATTTTTAAATTTATCGATATAATGAATTTTCGTATTATAAATTTTAAATATAACTAAAGAAAAATATATATAGGGGAAAGAAAATAATTTCGTAAAAACGTTTTATTATTTTATAAAAATACAATTATTATTTCATGAAATAAAACTCAGTTTCATCCGGACCCCGATTAAAGCGAGCAATCGATTTTCATTGATCAGTGTCCCGCAATATTTTTACTTGTACATCACAGAGGAGCATCGCATCAAAAGAATAAATAGATTACGCATAAACGTAGATTGTAATGAAATACAGGGTGGCAAATACGCGAAGCGTTTGCAATATCGTCGTCACGGCACACAGAGACAAATTACATTTAGTTTACGATTTCGCGCGAGAACGCGTTGTTTCCGCGCGATCAAATTCTATCTGAAACGAAAAACTTTTGTTTTGCAGTGGAAATGTACCTACAATTTGCATGCTGCGCCGCGGTACCAGGTGGAGGAAGAAACAAAGAATACGCGCTTCATCTGCTGCACATGTGCAAAGGGAATATTCATGTACGATACTTTGACTTTAATTTTTTCTTTATTCCATTCCATTTACACGCATCTCTGTAAATGATTTTATTTCTCTCTCTCTCTTTCCTTCGATATAATTTTAAGAAGTAGTACATCATTTTATTAATGTTTTATCTCTAACGAAATAAATTCATACGTTAAAGATTAAGATTAGAAGATGATTTACGAATCGTGCTATCTTATTTATGTACATATCATTTCCATTCTCGGTTCATTCTACATTTCGTGTATTCGTTTCTCTATCCTTTAAGTTTTTTTAACTTCGAACGTCTAATATTTCACCTACTTAATTAAATGTAAATTTAATTACATGCTTTTATCGTAGTTTTTTGATGTGTGCATTACAAAGGAAAAAAATTGCAGTCGAATTTATTATCACTTCGTTCTGGAAAAGTGTTATTCTCTAGAGAAACAAATAGAATGATCGAACAATGCATGCTTGTAAAATTATACGCTCTAATTATACTAATCGCACTATCGTCTTATAAATCATGTTAAACTTTTCTTGCACTGTCTAATAATAATTAGCTTCTATTTTCAAAATAATCATCATCTAAAAATAATTTTAACAATCCTGATTATCATTCAACTTAAACGTGTAACAAATTTTCCCAGACAGATTTTCATAATATTTTAATTGCTATGTTTCTAGTTCTAAATCGAATCCTAGATATTTAATCCGGACTTTTGAGAATTCAACTAACTTCTTGCAAAGCAAGAAGAAAAGATAATGAAAGACAATTTATCTCGTTCGATACATTTATAATTCACGATTCTATTTTCCAAAATTGATGAGATTAAATACCAAATCGGACATGCAATTTTACAAATTAATAATTTTCGATAATATCGATTCCAGGAAGCCATGCTGAAGTTGATGAGACCAACACCTCCGTTGCCAGCGGAACATCCGTTGCTCAGTTACGAGTGCCACGAGTCCGACCGATGGACGTCGCAAGAGATGGACGCGTTCTATCAGGGCCTGTTGAAGTACAACAAGGATTTCTCTGCGATCTCGCGAGACGTGGGTGGCAAGTCCGCGAAACAATGCGTGCAATTCTATTATCTGTGGAAGAGGCTCTGCCCGGACGAATACAGTAGACTTCGTGTTCGCCACGGTAAACCAAAGATTAAGACAGAGAGCAAGGATTGCAAGGATACCAGGGAGCTTCGCGACGCCATTGCGTCGGTCACGGAGATGGACTTCAGCGAAGACAAATCTATTCTTCATCGCACTCTGGTGAGTTCGATCGATGATTTCTCTTCCTTATTTTGATTTAACATCTGTATTTACATTTGGATGCATATGCAAAAATAATTGCAAATGAATTGCGCGATACGTAATATTCTTATGATATTAATATCGTTTAAATATATATCATCTTGAAGTGAATATTAAATGTTCAGTTTAAACGGTTGATAAAAGTTGAGGAAAAAAAATTGTGAATCTTTTCCCCAGTTACAGACAAACGAGAGAGAAAACTCGGCTACTCTGACCACCAGCGACGGAGAGCTGAGATTATTCGCATACGACTGCCCCGATGTGAGTACCATTCACGTATCTTCGTTCTCTATGTATTTTATCTTTTACCTACAAGCTTTACTTGATACAAATAAAACGAATAATTCAAAACGAATACAATATACGATATTATACTTGAACAATATAATTTTTTTTATTTATTTATTCTTCTTTTTTTTTTTTTTATCAGAAATATACGATGTAATATCAAGCATTTTTTTTTTTTCTTTCACAAAAATATATACAATGTTCATTCCTTTTTTTGACAACAAACATCGATCGTTAAATGTCTAGAGAATTCTATCTAAAACTATTATTGTATATCTTTATCGAACTTAAATTCTCTTAAACTAACCAACTTGTCGAGTATCGAGTACGAATCGTTCTAAAAGAAAATAAAAAAAAAAAAAAAATAACCTTTCTATTATTCGAACGAAAATTATTATATTCGACAAATAACAAATGATCGATTCTTACTCGAAAGTAATACGTGAAAGCGCGTGACGATACTCGACACGCGTAGATGATAACGCGTGAACGTTTAAGTGTCGCATGTGACTTGTTGTTTCTTGGACCTGTCGTTTCTACTTTTCTCTCACGCTTTCTTCTCACAAAGGTACAAGCGCGTTGTGCGTGACAACCACACGTTTTTCTGCGTTTCTACTTATTCTATATGTTTATTATACTTACGTCATCGCCCGTTGTCGTCGTCGTCGTCGTCGTCGTCGCCGCCGCCGTCGCCCCTCGTCGCCGTCTTCGTCGTCGTACATTGTTGTTGTTTGTTTGTGTTGTTTATTTTGGCTTTGTGTTTCTTTGTGTTGTCAGAGCTTTAGCGGAAGTGTAACAGTAACGATGGCCGGGAGCACCCAAACCGCCCAAACCGGCAATACCGGCCACGCCACAGTCAACACCAACTCACAAACTCACACTAGTTCTGAGCAACAACTACCCGTGCCCACCCCACTTCACTACCCCTGCAAGATTTGCGGGAAGTAAGTCTCCAATCTCTAATCTAAACGAAAAAAGAAAAAAAGAAAAATTCAAATCCGTTCGAACAAATTAAACCGACGGCCCAGCCAATGACACAAGTGACTTAATTAACACGGCGGGTACCGAGCGGCAAGTATCGGCGCAAGCACAGTTATAGAGAACACTTTGCTTCTTCTAGAGAGAGAGAGAGAGAGAGAGAGAGAGAGAGAGAGAGAGAGAGGGGNGGAGAGAGAGAGAAGAAGA